GTCTCAGGACTGACGTATAAGCTTTTGTTCCCCCACATTCAAGTGCCCCACACCCTGTTACAGAGGGGTTGGGGCTCCAGAGACATCACAGCTGAGTCAACTGGTGAAATTGCTTACAAGTCCTTAAAGATGCTGATGAAGTGCTGGATCAGATCTCATGCCTTTTGGTCTGTGAGGGCCTCCACAGAAGCATTTTCCTAAGCCAGCAGAGATGGTGACTCCAAAAGGGATGAGCGCATGGTGCTTGCTGAAGGCTTTGGCAAGCACCTGGGTTGAGTCTGCAGGAGCTGGCAGCAATGACTCATTGCTGGAGAGAGACCTGAGAGGCGAGGTGAGGGGTAGCTGAATGAAAGGCTGAGTTTTACAGAGCAGCCCTTCCTAAATGCCTCATCCTCCTCACTTGCAGCGTGGTTGGGTAAGGAGGAGCAGACCAGGTTTCCCTTCTGGACTGGAGTCCAGTGCCCTGCTGCAGACGTTTCCAGCCTGGGCAGTACTTCTGTATCACTTCTTGGCTCCTCCAGGAGCCACAAAGGTAAGCAAAGCCACCCAAGAACCAGCTTCCCCAAGCAACTGCTTGCCTGAGTGAGCTGCAGGCTTAGACACCCCAGGAGCAGGGCTCTGGTGTGCGGCCAGGCCCGGCGGCTCTTAATGGGGTGACTGGAAGCAAGGCCTTGTGGTATTGCATCCATCTATCCACAGGTACCTGTAGGGACCTTGTACCAGTTTTGCAGCAAGGATGGAAGTTTCTTACAGTTAACCCTTCCCTCTGAGGAAAAGCCTTTTTCACTGTGTGGATGAATAGGGCTAAACAAACCAATCTTTAGTGACTCCAATCCCTCGGACTGGTGCCTTTGCATGTGCCTTCAGAGCCATCTCCACTCCATCTTGGGCACTTTTGCAAGTGCCGCAAGCGAGTAGGGGTGCTTATGGCCTGGGACCAGCTGCTGTGTCTCCTGGTGAGATGTTGGCCGTGTCCTTTCAGCCCTGGTTTGCTTGTCTCCGGCGCTGTCGTTAGGCGGGTGTGATTGCTCTGCTCCAGGGAGGGTGCTGGTTTTAGGCCCTGTGGGCTTCCTTGGCCACCGAGATAGGATTTGGAGGTGGTTTGGGAAGGTGTCAGACCTGCCTCTTCCAGCTGCCAGGCTGTTATTTTCTCCGTGTTCTGGTTTATACCCGCTGATGCTCTAGAGGAAGGGGGTGGCGTTTGCTCAGAGGATGCTGTGACAACAAACATCCTGGCCGCCAGCAACTGGTGGGAACTGTGACAGGCAGATGGGGCTGATCCCTGCGCAGCTTCACTGCCCCGGGGCAGGGAGGTTTTGCTGTCTCTGGGGGTTGAGTACAGGCTCTGTGATTTAGCAGAGCCCGGGCCCAGGCTGGGGCTCAGGCCCTGGGCTGCGCAGGCCCTCGCTCTGCTCCCCAGCTCCCAGCCACCGCTGCCACTGCCCCTTCCCAGCTCAGCAGCAGCTACCCCCCAGCACGGGAGCCCCAGGCGAACGGCACGGCAGGAGGAGGAGGAGGAGGGCTCCCAGGCGCGGCCTCTGCCAAACAGCTCCCAGACACAGCACACCCATCCCTCTCCCCTCCCTGCCCTGTGTCCTGGGACCAGAGCCTAAACCAGCCCAAAGCCTTGCTCCCTCCCTCGGCTTGGCCCTGCTCCAGGCTCCACTTAGCATCAATTATTCAGTGCTGAGCCGCTGAGGTATGGTGGAGGCAGGCAGCAGGGTTGCGGAGCTCTGGGAGGTTGTGGGGGGGTGGGCAGGGAGGATGAGGAGCTCAGCAGAGAGCCAGTGACAGGTGAGAGCAGCCGCCTGCCTGTCCCAGCTCCTGCCGCTGCTGCTTGGGCTGCTGATGAGCCGGGAAGGACAGGAGCTGTAGGGCTGCCAGGGCACAGGAGCCGAAGTGCAGCTTGTTGGGGGCTTGTGGGTCTGTGCTGGGGTGATCCTGCGCAGGGACCAGCCCTGGGAGGTGGAGAACTGGTGTTGAGTTCTCTGAAAGCCGTGATGAGAACAGTGGCTCCGCCGGGGAAAGGTGTGGGGGGTTTAATGGGAATACTGGCAAATGCCAGACGCGGTGGGAGAGGCAGTGGGAGGGCTGGTCCCTGGCTGACAAGGCTGTTGTTAGGATTTACGCAGCAGCCTTGGAACGTTCTGCAGAGTTGACTGGCCACCAGTCCCTGTGCTGTGTGGCAAATGGGTTATGGGTGCGCTTGGCCTCAGGACTGCACAGCTGACCTGCTCTTGGTCCCCTGGGAGCAGCACCCAGGCCCTGGGGGGCAGAGGTGGGGGCAGGGGCTGTCTGCACTCCTGTCCCCTTGGGGACAGTGACATCTCCCGTGCTGGCACCCTCCCGCAGCACAGCATGTGCTGCTGACCTGCTGCTCCCAGGCCAGCCGCAGGCCGGGCATTAGCCAAGGCTGGACACCAGGCATGGCTTGTGGCTGCCCCAAGACCTACCCCGCGGTCTTCCACTTCTCTGGTAAGGGACAGAGGTCCTGGGCTTGGCTGGTGGGCAAGTCCCAAGGGTGGCCTCCCCCTGGGGAGGACTCTGCAGTGGGTGCTTGGTATGTCCTCTGTGAGCTGAGCCCCAGAACCCCACCTGGGACCCCCCTTCAGCGCCTGTTCAAGGCCGAGTACCACTGTGCCTCCTGCATTAGGCAGAAGGATGCTGCTGGGGGTGTGGTGGAGCCCTGCCTGTCCCTGGCCCCCTCGGGCAGGGTGAGAGCACCCTGCCGCAGCCAGGAGGTCACGACTGTGCACAACCATGAGCTGTGGGGACCACAGATGCCAGTAAGCTGTGTTATATTCCAGGTTTTTTTTGCTGACCAAGTGAACCGAGGCAGTTTCAGAGAGGAACAAGACTGCCTGCCACAGCCCTCAAACCTAGCGTGACTCACCTTCCCCGGGGGAAACCCAGCTCTTCCGGACACTTCTGCTCCCTCCTTGGCAGCGTGGGGCTGAAGCTGTCCCAGCAGTGGGATAAATGGCCTGTCCCAAACCCCGCGGTGCCTGTGCTGGAGGGATCTGCTGCAGGTGTCCAAACCCAGCCCCGGTGGGCTGCTTGCCCCCGGCCACCCGAAAGCCAATAGGTTCACTGGGGCTGCTGGCCAGGCGGTGCCACAGAGCAGCTTAGGGGCACCTGGAAACACGGGAGGGCTGAGGTTGGCTTCACTCCAGCCCAGGGATGTCCCACTCATGCTCGTGGTGGTGTGTCCCTGGGCTGGCAGCCAGCGTGACAGGACAGAGATGTGCCCAGCCGCATCCTTGCTGCACTGCTGCTCCACTGTGGTACTCACCGGTGCTGGCTTTTTTTGTTATTTCCCATAGGGTTGCAAATTTTAATGAGTTAATATAAATGCACTAACTTAGGGACACTGGAGAACAAGGTAGGAGCTTTTTTTTGGTCCTCTTTGACCTCTTAGGTGAGGCAGATCCCTGCTCAGGGCAGGAATACCAGCCTACAGCACCTACAGGTGAACGCAGGGGGACGACACATCTCCTGCACTGCCCTTAAATCCTAAATCCCTTTTGCTGTCAGTCTTTGTGCCCCCTGTGCTGCTCTGCTAGACACATGGCCCTGCATCTGCTATTAACCATGTTGCTGAAGTAACAAATAGCAGCTTTCTCTTAGGGGAAACCAGAATGCTGCCCAAATTTAACACTCAAATCCAATAGTACAGTGGTCATTTAAGTGCAGGAAATTTAGGGTGTGTCAGAGGTGCTGCTCACACACGGCTTTTTAAAATCCATGCTCAGCTGTGAGCAGCACCACCTCACATTCCCAGTGCCTGGCATAAGTGTGACTCAGCCCTGACTCATGTAGCATCATGCGAGTCGCACCCGCTCGCCCTGCGAGGAGCTGTGTCCACCCGCTCCCTGGCCCCTCCGACCCTCCCAGCGCTGCCCCTGGGCAGGAAAACAAATTCCAAACCTGAGATCTCGGCCAAAGAAAGCTGCAGCAGGGCTGCTGGCCATGTGTTGGAAGGGATGTGCAGGGGCTGGGGGCTGCCCACGCTCCATGAGCCTGGAGAGGACGGTGGTACAGGGAGAGGAGCAGTTTTCTTTCCACTGCTGCTGGGAGATGCCTGGATTTAGCCATGGCAGAAAAGCAGGAAGGAAGGCAGAGATGGAGTGGACTGGACCTGCCACAGCTGGAACACACCTGGTGAACCGACCTAAAAGCCAGCATGAGAAGGCAACTGGTCTTGCTGCTGTGCCTGTTGCCATAAGAAACCTCATGGAGCCTGATTTTATGCTAAACTTCTTTAACTGTTATCATTACAACCATGTAAAACACAGCATCAAATACTCTGGACAGTCTGCTTGGATCAGCATAAAAAGGAATGATTTTCCCTCTCCCCCAAAAAAACTTACAAAAAAACCCACAGAAAAACAAAAAAAGCACAGACATAAAAATGGGTATTTTTAAGTAATAATTATAATACATTAGAAAGAGTCACGGAGGAAGCGTTCCACGCTGTAAACAAGAATAGCAATTAAAAAGAAAAGCAGATGGTAGCTGGGCTCTCAAAGTGCACCTCAACTGCCATCCCAGGCTGGGGCTGGGCCCCAGCACCTGGCCCGTGACTCCTGCTGCCCGCTGGCACCAGAGCCACTCAAAGTGCTCAATTACAAACCAAAAAAAAAAAAAACCCCAAACCTGCAACATTGGTCTTTCAAACTACACGGAGGGTAGCAAGGTGAAAGTCGTGCGAGGGCAAGGATGGCGGGAGCTGCTTTCCTGAGTTCACTCGTGGCCGGAGGGGCTGAGGCTGCTGGAGGCTGGGGCAGGGCTGCGTGGGGCTGGGGCTGGTTATTTGTCCTGCTGAGCTGCCACCCTGGCCCTTCTTCCTTGCCTCTCCCCAGTGAAAGAGCTGAGGCTGGGCCATATCCTGCCCACCCCTGCTGCCACGGGCCTGCCCTGGCCGCTCCTTCAGCTGCAGCAAGAGGCAGAGGAGGAGAGAGGATGGCTCATCTCTTGGATGATGCTTTGATGTGCTGAAGGCATCACTCCAAGGGAAGCCAGGCAGGGTGCTGGCTCCCAGCTGCCTTGGGCCACTCTACCCTCCAGAGCTCTTCTCAAACCTGGAAGCTGAGGGGCTGCAGGCTGGAGAAGAGCTTAGGTAGCACAGGGAGGTGCTCAGAGACCTTCCCAGCAAGCACACACGGGTAGGAACACCAGCTGCTGCCTGCCCGTAGGCTTGGAGACGACCAAGGACCTTGCTGCTTGGTCCTGTTAGGTACACCATGCACCAGATGCCATGCAAGGGGTAGTGTGCATCCAACAGCTCCCCAAAATTAGAGCAAACCACCTTTTTAGAACGTGAATACTGCAAAACATCCCAGACGCAGACTGGGTGAGGAGCCTGAGTGCACATGCAACGTGATGTGCAAGGGCCGCGTGCCCGAAATGAGGGGAAAGAGCTCTTGCATGCATGAGCCAACCACTTGGATGTGTTAGCAGGAGGCCTGTGTGTGCTTCAAGGAGAGGACAGACCACCAAGCTACAGCAAACAGGCCAAGAGGTGACCACCAGCCCTCAGATGCTTCCTGCTGCTTCCTAGTGAGCTCCAGAGGCCAGTGGGCTGCTAGCAAAAGACAACTGATACCTGTCCTGAAATACTGCCCAGGTATTTTAACACACAAATGGGTTTAACTACTGCACAGTTACTGAAAAACATACTCTAAATTAAACCCAATTCAAGCACCATTGTTCCAGAAAGGACCCATGGTGTCTCAAAACACAAATACTGAACATTTCATACAGCACTTCTCAAAGAGCAATTCTTGACTCCTCACACCACCCCTGCGAGGTAGCTAATAGGGTTATCCCTGCTTTGCAGAGGGAGAGAGCGAGGGGCAAGGGGGGAGGCTCAGCAGAAGATGGGGTCTCTGACAGAGCAGGGGCTGCCACAGAAGCTGAGGGTGCTGTGGTGTGGCTACATCTAAACAGATGGGGTGCTCCCTGTGGTGCTCTCCCTGCTGCAATACAAACCACCACATGCACACAAATTAAAAAAAAAACAAAAACAAAAACCAAACCCAAACAACAAACACCACCTGATAAACCCCACAAAGTAATTTCACGGCAGTTTTCTGCTGGGCTTCCAGGTAGGCTTCAGCTCAGGTTATGTTACTGAAGCAGGCAGATAAAAAACAGTTTTCAAAGTCTCCTTAGAACATAAAGGAGCTTTTGCTTATGGTCTCCACCTCAGGTGGCAGCTGCAGTCACCCCTCTGGAGAGCAGGCAAATACAGCACATCTGGTCTAGTTTCTTTCCTGCTGCTTCCATCAATCTTCCTGATGAAGTCCCCTCTCCTGGGCACAGGAGTTTGGCCCAGCTCTCAGGTTTGGGCTGTGCAGCAGCCACCTCCTGGGATGGGGAGGAGCTGGACAGGCCCCTAGGACTTGGTGCACGAAGGACAAGCAGGCAGCCAGCACATTATCTCCTCCTCAGCAGTGGGCTGTGGTGACCTTGATGCTCTGCTACAGCATCATCTTTGAACATCTCTGCCCGGGTTTCCTTCCTTCGCTGGCGATTTCTGGGTGGGCTAAACCAGAAGGGCTGAGATGAGGTTCTGGGCAATGTGCTCCCCTTCCCCAGTGCCTACACTGTCCCCACCCTGACATGTCACTTGGGCTTCAGCTTGGGAACCGTGATTAAACACCAGCACACCTCCAGCAGCTCGCTAGTGAAGGCAGGAGGTTTCCCAAGGCTGCAGCCCCCTTTCCTGCCCAGCCAAGGGAAAGGCAGCGCCTGTCCCACTCGCCGCTGAGGGAAAAATTTGCCAGCAGAGACCAGGCTCAACCTTCAGCGCGGTCCTTGTCACCTTGAGAACTTGGGGAACAATCACCCTGCTGCTGGTCCTCCCCTGGGTCACACCAAGCTGTTAAACCTCCCCTCCGGGTGCCCACCCACCATGGCGGGTGGCAGGAGCTGGGCACAGCCCGTGTACAGCCCGGGTGCTGCCCTCTGGAATTGCACAGAGCAGGCAGAGGGCTGCCCGTGCCACGGCCCTGCCCGAAAATGCTGCTGCCTATAACCACGGCTCTGGGAAAAGAAATAAAAGATCTATTGCTACAAAAGCCTTTGCAAGCAATGCTGTTGGGGGCACCGATCGGGCATTTTAAAGAAAGCATTTCGGACTCTTACGCCTTGTACCCACTTCCACAGCTGTGGGTACCCACGGCAGGCAGGAGCAGGAGAAAACACGCAACACATTCACCAGCTCTGCCTCCTCCCCCTGCACGCAGTGAGGCTCGGGGAGCTTCAAGGAACACAAAAATGAAAGCAGTTTCCGATTTGTCCGTAGGAAAGATGCAAACCCAATTTGCTGGTGCCTCCTGGTGCCGGTGGCCACCGCTCCATCTCCTCACCGGGCGCTCGTACCAAAGCACAGCCTGACAGGCGATGGCTGCTGTGCTGTCACCCCGACACAGCCCTGCTGAAGGTGGGGGGGGCCCGAAAACGGGGCAAGGGTGCTGCTCCAGCACCCGCTTCCTCTCCCTTGCCTCCTCCCATCCCCACTAGAACGTCACTGACTTGGGCAGCTGTGCCAGGGGAGGAGAGCCTGAAAGGAAACTGTTCTCTGAGGGGGATTTGGCAACCTGCGGTGGTAATTTTGGTTTGGGGCTGAGGGGTGGTCGTGGGGCTTTCAGTGCATTTAATGGTTTTTGGAGGCTTTTTTGGGCATCTCCCTCCTCTTGGTCCAGCACAAGAGGTGGTGGCGTGGAGGTGGCAGGCAGGGGACGTCTGCTCTCCGGCAGAGGCAGTGCCACCTGCTTTCTGTTCCACAAGTCCTGCTCTGTGGCGTGGGCAAGGTGGAGAGGAGTGGTGGTTTTGATAACGGTGTAGGGGCTGTTCCCCTTGGCTGCAGGGGACGGTTCCCCCCGGTGTCCCTCACCCAGCTGCCCTGCCTCCAACTCGCTGCTGGACAGGATGGGCACGCTGCTGCCCACCAGCCCGTGCCCAGGCAGCGTGCCCAAGCCCTCGGGCCAGCGTGCAGTGCTGGTGGCACTCCCTGGCCCGTTCTGCTGCATGCTGGCGAGCTCCCCTGTGGAGGCAGCTTTGGATGCCAAGCGCTTCAAATCTGTTTTGTCCGGCAGTGCCGCTCTGCAGCGCGCCTCGGCCGTGCCCTCCCCCTGCCCGCTCCTGGGGGGACCGTCGCGCTGCGCCGCACCACAGAGCTGCTGCCAGCTGCCCGGCAGAGGATGAGGGGCTGCATCAAGCCTTTTCTCTTTGCAGAGGGAAGATGCTTGGTCTCCTGCCGGCAGGGCAGTGGGATTTGGCTGCCATACCACGTGGTCCGTAGTGGAAAGCTCGACAGTGCTCGAGTCGGGAGGACCTGGTGTATTTTGGAGGGAGGAGTCTGAGGAGCCATGCTCGGCCGGGGCGGGGAGGGAGACAGGCTCGTGGTCCATCGTGGTGTGGCCAGGAGCAAGAAGAGGCTCCTCCGGAGGCAGGGCTGGGGGCAGGAGGTGGTGGTGGGTCTGCGTCTTGCTTCCCTTCGGAAGAGATGGTGGCTGCCCATCCCTGGGGGGCACTGCCTGAGCCTCCTCTCCGGGCGGCCCCTCGGCAGGAGGATGCAGGTGTGTGTCTGTCGCTTCAGCTGCTTTGCTGCCCTGGGGGGTGGGAGTCCTTGCCTCCACCGCAGGTGTTCCTCCCGGTGCTCCAGGGGCTCTGTGGGGATGGGGCTCCCTGTCCGGGGGGTGCTCGCCCACCTGGCCATTCTGGCTGTTGGCTGCCATGTTGCTCTTCACGGTTACTGGGTTAAGGGAGAGCTCCAGGCCCAAGGGTTTCCGTGGGAACTCCTCAGGCTTTGCTGCATTGGAAGCAGAGAAAACAAAATCAAACCAAACTACACATTGGTTCATTTTTGCACCCAGCATGCCCCGACTGCGGGGAAGGCAGATGCTGCACCCACTGGGTGCCAGCCTTTCTGGGCTGCCCCAGCTCCCTGCCATGCCAGAGGGATGCTCTGTTCCCCAGGGGACATGGGTACTACTCTCTGCCCCCCCCCCCCTACCCACCTGGCGGGGGGAGGTCAAATTTCATCTTGCGCAGTTCAGTCATCGACACCTGCAGTTGCTCGATGACGGCATCATCCTCATACTGCAAGGAAGCAGCAATTTTCTCCTGCAGGAACTCCCGTAAATCTTCCAATGCCATCTTCAGCAAGCGCTCTGGGGGACAGCAGAAAGGAGTAATGGCAGTGGCATGGCCAAATTGCAGGGTAGCACAAGTATGGGTGGCATTGCTTTGGTTTTCTCTGGGACTGTGCTGCTGTTCCCACTCTGGGGTGGGACAGCCCGAGGGATTTTGCCTCTTCCCCACCTTCCCACTGTTGCTTGGGGTTGTTGATACATGGATGTATTCATGCCACCACCTCTGGGCAGCAGCTCAACAATGGCAGGACAGTGGTAGGGCTGGGGCCTACGCTGACCAGGATGAACATTTTGGGCCATTTCTGGAAGTTCTCACCAATACCTCTAGGAGGAGGAAAAGCTCCATGAGATAGACCCTGAGCATCAGACTGAATGGCAGCCGCCACGGCCAGCCAGGGATGCCAACCTGCACAGTCAGCAGGCCGGGACGCAGGCAGCGATGCTGACCCAGGCCAGGCAGGCAGGGACGCAGGCAGCGATGCTGACCCAGGCCAGGCAGGCAGGGATGCAGGCAGCGATGCTGACCCAGGCCAGGCAGGCAGGCAGCAACAGGCTGCGGGCAGGGATGCTGATCCACACCCCACACTCCTCAGGGAGGAGAGATGATTTCATGGCCAGGCTGAGACTTCTGCCTGCCTGCCAGTTTCCCAGCCTTTGCAAACAAAAGGATACGTGAAGATGTAACTCTGGATAGCCTATCCTTCACTCTGGTGAAGGAGAGCAGGGTGGCTGTTTGTAGAACCCAACACATGCAGTCCCATAAATACCACTGGCCCAAAGGTGACCAACATGCACTAACAGCATCGCTCCTGTCTCAGATTAAAGACCTAACTGGGTGACAAAGTAAGGCTGCTGGTTTATGGGAGCACAGAGGTTCAAAAATCTCATGGTAGAAACATCACTGCCTTAATGTTATGTAAGAAAATCAGGTTTTGATCATTTTAGAAGTATATGAATGTATTTATTTCTCCCTCTACAGCCTTTTTCAGCTGAACAGCCACATAGAGCTTTGCAGACAGATGGGTTGCTGTCTGTATTGCCCCTAACAGCGTGTTGTAAAAGATGTGGGGTGCAGCATGCAGGAGGAGGCAGCTGGGAGCATTTCAGGCGGGATTTGCTGTGTGCTGAGCACAGCATTTCAACCCTTGCAGCATCTCATCCCCTCCCCGGAGCACCGGCACAGGACTGTGCCTTTTGGGGCCAGCGCAGGGCACTGAGCAGGCTGGCAGCGGCCAGCAAGGCTTCCGGAGTGGGCAGCACAAGGGTGGCCCAGCACAGTGCTGCCACAGGGGATGTGCTCTGCTGGGACCTTACTTTTGTGCAGTTTGAGGATGGTGTAAGCCATGGCTGTCAGCACCCGTTCTCCTTCCAGGACGTAGATATCCCACAGCCGCAAGGTGAGGGTGAAGGGCGTCTGTTTCAAAGGCACAAACGAAAAAAAACAGCCTGTTAGCACCATGCTTGCTAGCACTGACTGATGGGATGATGATACAGAGGTTAGTGGCATCACTATATCCCCTCATACCAAAACACACAACACAGCAAGGCACTGGATGTCAAAGATTCAACTTTAACACAAAAACCTGTTTTATCTTCTATGGTTTTGCCTTAAAGCTAACAACCTCAGGTGGCCAGGAAAGTACTTAAAACCCAGCCATGAATGGGAGAAAATGAAGAAAAAGGAGAAACTTTCTGCACAGGCACACTAGCACATGGATTCCCCTACCCTGGAGGGAGCACCATCATCTTTCAGCCTTTTGAGCACACAAAGCCACTCCTGTACCCACTCAAATTGCAGAGACAGACAAAGGGCTATTTATGGGATAGGTCTGAAGGCCCAATGGTGCTTCATTAAGCTTTTTTTAAAAAAAAAATCACTCCTTTGCTGTCCAGAAAAGTGGTCTTCCTTAGGCACAGGCTTATTTCTGCCTGCTAGAAAAACTCCTGCAAGAGGTTCATTTGCACCTGGACCTGATCTGACAAAAAGGAGTGAAGTGATATCCAAAATGATGGAGCAGCCCACCATCTCTGAGCAAAGATTTAAGGTACCTCACCAACACACAAATTAATACTAGTCCTACCGTGACACTTAAATTCAAATTTAGGATGCTGTGCTTACTCTCCAGAGTTTGGCATGACTGGCCATTGCAGCTCTTTTACCATGTTACTGCAGTTAAAGGGATTTTGCATTTATGCAGCTTTTAAAGACAGACTGCAGAGCAGTGAGTTCTCTCTCAAGGGGAAGGGATCATCTGCTGTTTTAGAGGAGACCGGGCAGCAGAAAATAGAGACTGGGCATACACAGATGTCCTAAACTTTGGCAAGTATGGATCTTGTATTCAAGTGTGCAAGCACAATGCTGCCCTTAAAAGTTTGCTGGGGCCTGGCAAATTTGCTCTGGACAAATCAGGGTAATTTTCTCATCCTTTCATGTGTCTCTAGTGCCCAGCTGGCTCCTTTGCTTATTTGTCAAGGCTTGTGCCTCCAGCTCCTCTTCTCCCTATGTTGTTTCCAAAGCTAAAGTGAGGTTAATTGCCTTTGCAGCAGTGCCAGTGGGCAAGGGAAAGATCTCTCCAGACTTTGAAGCTCACACTGCTGCTGCTGAGCCATCTCCCAGCGACCGCTTGTGATGAGGCAGCAGGAATTGGCTTGTCTTCACTGACATGCAGTTATTTTTAGCTTCTCCCTTATTAATTTTTGCCTTATGAGAGTGTGCATAATATCCCACCTTATAAAATATTAACACCTTCCTCAAATTACGATACTTTTTTAAAAAGAAAAGAGGTGGGTTAACCATGCATGCAACCGGCAGAGCAGCAAACAACCCGCAGAGCATCCTCACCCGGTCAATGAAACACTGCAGGAACCACTTGGTTGTGTAAATCCCTGTAGTCATCTGTTCCTTGTCCTAGGAGGAGACAGCAAAGAGAGACTGGTGTTTCACCAGGCTGGCTGCTGGAGGTTCAAGCAACTCACAGTGCTTTGGGGAGGTTGGCTGGTTGGTTGGTTTATTAATGCTGGTGTCTGGGTGCAGGATCTGGCTGCAGTTTTTCTCCCAACAAAGCGCCTGCCTTAAATACCAAGGGCTTTGGTGCTTTGTCCAAGATATTTATTGAACCTGATCCTCAATGTGGCCAGACTTCAGTCACAACTTTGGAGAGGGATTTCTAGGAGATGCTTTTTTGGCCTAATATCTACACCAGGCATTAACAAAAATCTTCCAGGAACCCAAACCACACACACTCCTTGCAGACTACCGTTTTTGTTTCCATAGCAATTCCCATGCCAGCCTCTCTGAGCACCACCAAAATGATTAACCCCAACTATCCCACAGGTAAATCCAGACCTGCACAGCCAAGCCAGCTTTGCTAGCACTTTGTCTGTAAACACCTAATTTGCAAGGCATGGCTGCTGACAGGCTAAGGAAAACTCTTAAACAGCAGGGTTTAACCCCAGCATCAGCCTGCTCTATCACTTTTCCATCCCTCTCTGGCATCTGGCACAGCTCTGCCTTCCTGGCCCTGCTGATGGTGTGGCACGGCCGGTGCTGCACAGTGTCCTGCACACACACACACAAAGCCAACGTCACCGTGGGGATGGGAAGAGAAAGAAGCCCACAGGAATAACAGCTGGCTCCAATCTTTGCTTTCAGTTGGTGCTGGGCACCTGCAAGCCTGGAGACTTCAGGAGCCAGGAGATACAAGCAGCTTTCAGAAGTTATTCCCATTCTCTCTGCCCAGGTCTGCCACCACCACCTGTGCCCTCCCCCAGCTTTAATTAAGTGAAAATCTGTTCTGACTCTGTTTCACTTTTACGGCCAGGGCTGGCTCATTTGCAGCATGAAGCAAGAGCTGTTGCAGATGATGGCAATATAAACAGCTTTTCCTGGAGCCAGGCCAGTGAGCCCCTTGGGAGCATAAGAAACCTTCAGGAGTCTGACCACTGAATACCAATACCAACTGTCTACAGCAAATGCAAGGGGGGACAAGAGATAAAAAGAAGGGAGCAGGTGTTGCAAAATAGTTGCCTAGACGTTAAGACTGCAGTCGAGGTGTCCTGCAGATGCTCATCCAGCCACCAAATGGGCCTATACCATCTGCTAGAGAGAAAAACAACTGGATATGCCCAAGTGACAAAACACACAGCAAATCTGACATACCTCCTGTCTTTAAGCAACAGCAAAGCTGTTAAATGTAAGCACTTGGGGATAATAATTATTGAATTAAGACTCCAGACAGTCCAGCATCATCCTTCGGGCTTTGCAGCTGGTGTAAGAACACAGTGCAGCCTTTCTGCTGTATGCAACAGCTCCTTTTGCTGCAGGCTGTGAGCCTTCCTGCCTGCCTTTCCGAAGGGAGCCTTTAGATTTTAGCAGTCCCTACATAATGATGACCAGCAAGCAAATAATAACCATTTGCTTCAGCAAGATTCAGGCACCCCATTTAATAAAGGCTTGCCTCTTTGTGGCTGAAGCAGTCCTACCTGGTTAGAAATGCATTCAGTTGTGCATCTATTTGGCAGAACATTACACTAATTGCCTTAGCATTAAAACGTGCTGTGAGTACGGGGAGACTGAGAGCAAAGAGATACCATGTGCTTCTTCAGTTTGGGAAACAGTTTGCTTAAAATCTGCTCGTGATGAGCTTGAAATCTCTGCAGCTTCGGGAACCCAGGAATGAAAAAACCTTAATGAGAAAAAATGAGAGAAATAAAAAAATAATCAGAAAAGCTCTGCAGCACTTACAGGGGCGTTGCCTGTTCAAGTTGGCTGGACTTCACAGCACGCCCAGTTACCTCAAGCCTTACTCACTTTAAACAACTATGTAAGGAGAAACGAGGTCTGTCGACCAACCGAAACAGCCTTGCCTCCCCTGCCAAAAGCCCCCATCCCATCCTGTCTCGGCCTTACCGTGCATGGCATGCCGCTGGTTGGTCAGCAGCTGCGCCAGGGCCCAAAACGCATCCTCTTCGTTCAGGTACATCAGGAGGATGGCTGCGATCTGGCTCATCCCTTGGCAGTAGCTCACTTCCTGCAAGAGCCAAGAGGGGCACACATGCTGCCATGTCATCAGACCCCACCAGGATGCTAAAGCTGCCTAAGCCGCCTGTGTTTCCCTCCCCTCTTTCAAGGCCTGTCCTGTTTCAAGGTCTTTATCTTGTATGCCAAAATTCACAGCTCCCATACGTCTACAGCAGCTACTATGCCACTGACTCACACAGTAATTTGGGTTGGAAGGGACTTTTGAAGATCAATCCATCCACCCTCCCTACCCTGGGCAGGAACACCTTCCACCAGCCCAGGTTGCCCACAGCCCCGTCCAACCTGGCCTTGAACCCTTCCAGGGAGGGGGCAGCCACAGCTTCTCTGGGCAGCCTGTGCCAGGGCCTCACCACCCTCACAGGGGAGAATTTCTTCCTTATGTCCAATCTAAACCTACCCTCTTTCAGTTTAAAACTGTTACCCCTTGTTCTGTCACTACAGGTCCCGGTAAAAAAGTCTCTCTGCCTTTCTTATAAGCCCCTTTTACATATTGAAAGGTCCCAACAAGCCTTCTCTTCTCCAGGCTGAACAGCCCCAGCTCTCAGCCTTTCTTCATGGGGGAGCTGTTCCAACCCTCTGACTATTTTCATGGCCTCCTCTGGACCCACTCTAGTAGGTTGTCCAGTGGGAGGTGAGGGGCTTGCAGACAATACCCCTCACCACACCAGCCCCCCCACCATCTGTGCTCCAGCGTGGAAGGTAGGGGACAGAAACCTCAACATAAGAGGTGCCTGCAGCTACTTCAAGGAATAGGGGATGGGATGACAAACAGCATGTGGCTCCAACACTGTTTTGGATTCTTTCAGCCACATGAGCACTGAAGTAACTAAAAAATAAATAAATCTGGCAAGCATTTATCTGGTATGAGGGAAGGCAAGGTCTTTGTTTCCTTGACTACCCCCCTGAGCATCTCCTGTGCTTTCTGGGGTAACTGTCCCCCCCTTCGGCTGCTAATTTAGGCTTATTTTGCCCATGCCCTTCAGCTAAAAATGCCTGGTTTGCTGTAATAAATCAACGTTTTCAACAAGGATGCCATTCATTGTATGACAAGAAGTCAGAAGCATGACAGATCTTCAGCCAGGAGGCTAGTCTTGCTGCAGAGCCAAAGGGCAATCCCTTGTTCTTTGCTGACACTCGCCCAAACCGCATCTGCCAGATGTCATTTACCAGGTGACAAAAATAAGCAAGGGAATAAAACAACTGTGCCAAGAGTCTTGTGCTGCCTGCCAGTCTTGCAGCCGTGTATAAACCAGCATTAGGACTTAAAATTAATTGCTACTGACTAAATGTGGGGGTGTGTATATATATATATGTACACACAAACATACATGTATACACATATACAAATGTATATAAAGCTTTTAAAAATATCTTTTTATATATATATATAAAGCACAATACTATTCACTTTAACTGGACTAACTTACTACTTACGGTGTTATAAACTGAGTATGCTGATAGGACATGGAAGAGTGCCTGTTGCCTGGGGAGAAAGAAGGATATTAACACACCTGAGCATGAGGTCTCCAGCCTCACGTGCACACCAACGCGTACGCAGAGCGCAAAGGCTCTGAGAACACCCAGCCAACTGGTACTTATGCCTTCTGCAAGGAGCCAGGATCACAGAACCAGAAAGCATCTTGATGGGCATGTGGGATTGGAGCTCTTCCTTCCAGGGGGAGTCACCAGTGGCCCTGCGGAGCAGTGCTGAACCAGCCTGCTCCCTCAGCAGGTCTCCTGGAGAGACATGCACATACCTACACGCACTGCGTTCAACACACCTGCTCCTCAGGGTCTGGAGTGGTGGCGGGTTTTTCACAGACTTGCAACCACCCAGGCATCAAATGTTACACATCCTGGAGGAAAGCACTGCCACCATTTTATTAGTAGGCTCCTTTCTCCCTTCCCTCCTTCTTAAAGGAGTCATGCCCACACAGTGCAGGCTTCCTCGCAAACTGCACACTTATGTAGGGCAGCCAGGTGTGACTCATCCAAGTGACAAAGCCACTTTGTCAAACCTCTCCAACCCCACCCGCTGGCCACGTCCACCCCATCCCACCCAGCTCCCGACGGACCCACCCCATCATCCCAGTCATCCCAAACCAAGCCCTCTGCAACCCCAGCACCCTGGGGGACAAGGCACCGCAACATCCTGATGCTTGGCTCAAGAACTGGGGCTGAACCTGTCCAAAGAGAGGATCAACAGCCCAACATCTGTGGGCCATAGCATTTGTTGATGGTTTGTGGAGCAGAGATGGCTTTGCTCTCCTGTGAGCCGTTTGGAGCCAGGGGGCTAGTGGCCACCCCATCCAGCTCACCCCATGCACACCCACCAGCTTTGAAGCCCATACAGCCACACCAAGCCTCCTGTACTCACTTCACTCCGTAGCGATCTCGGAACATGATGTGGTTTCGGAAGGTGCGGTTAACATCCAAATCGATCTGCTTGATTTCTGAGGAAAAGCTCTTTGCTTGTTCTTTCATTTGCTGGAAGGAAGAGGGACAGACAGGAGGACAAATGAGATGCCATCTCAGCCAGAAGCGTGCTTCCTACCACAGGAGGGGCAGCTTGTGAGCTGCACAGAGCTATTGAGGAGCGACTCAGAGACACTGCTGGCAGCAATGACCTGCAGACTGGAGGTGCATCCTGGCCCCTCAGCTGTGCAGCTGGCCTGGGGAGAAGGGGATGGCCCCATGCATACATGATACAACAGCAGCAGCTGCCAACCCAGCCTCTGCCCATCTTCCAATGCAGATACCAAGTTTTCCGAATCTAAAACTTTTATAATTAAATTTCACTCTGGTTTCTTTTGATTTCTTTGCAGTACCCAGTCTGGCTGTCATAAAGCATCGAGATCTCTGTTGGTGATCAAGGAATAATACACTTCTATAACTAACACGCAGACATACACACCAAGGCCCCAAGCTTTTCAGAAGCTCATTCATAATGAAGTCCAAACTGTTATGACAGACTCTGTGAAGTGATCTCTACTACTTCCCCTGCAGAGAGAATCATCTTCAGTTTAATGAGTTTCCACTAGAAAAGCAGTTCTGGGGTATTCCCTTGGACTGGTGCAAATTTTAAGGAATCGGCAGAGCCCAGAACAAAAGCAAAACTCAAAGCCAAGAATTTCCACATTCCCCGTGTGCTGGCTCATCATTTAAGGCAGCATGACACAGATAGAGGACTGAAGACCACTGCAAAAAAAAAGAAAATTCAAACCAAAGCTGCACCTACCTCAACCAATTATGCCCTCAGAGTCTGAAGCTGAGGATGCTCCATGGATGAATCCCACTGCAATCCCATTTGTAACCCACTGCTCATCCCTGTGCATGCAGGCAAGGACCAGTATGCTGTGGCCAAGCATCTCATCTCACAGCCCTTTGATACCACCGGTGATCATGCCCGCCTTTAATATCTCGAGGGTTAACTGCATTAATAAAATACATTTTGTGACTGTCTTCAGGCAGCCTGAGTTCCACTGGCAGGTTAGGGGCAGTGGAGATGAGCAGCAAGCCCAGCTTGCCTGGAGCCCAGGGTCAGGACCTCTCTTGCTCACACAGGAGACAGAAAACAGCACATCTGCACAAATACTTAAACATCTGCGCCAGCAGCTGCTATTCTACGAATGCTTGTCAGCCAGAGCACACAAGGTGCCTCCAGGCTGCAGCTGACCTCCCGAGGTGGCCACACCAGCTCTGGGGAATATCAAAAGGTCATTAGCACCCAGATGTGTCCCGCACAGCCAACGGTCAGTGCAGTCACAGCATCTAGGGATTATTAACGCCAACCTTGAAAGTAGCTGTAGGAGGAGCAACGGTTCAGGGGCCATTTTGAATTATTGCTTGCACAAGGCAAGGCAGAATAAGTGACGGTGTAATGAAGATCTGATGAACAAACATCATTTCCCTGCTGTAAATACTGTGCTTTCTGCATCTTATGGCTCCTTGCCCTCTATAAAGCAGTCAGACTGAGACGACTACTCATATGCACCGGGTTACTTCAGTTCAAACTTCCCTGCTCAAGGACCTCTTGTTTTCCCTGCCAGAACAACACAGAAATCTCCCAAACACTGTAAAAACCCCTACTTTGAGGGGTTTTAAAATCACTGCACCTGAACAGCAGGTAGCTTGCAGAGTACTTTGTCACCTCCATGCATCCAGGAGGCTTTATTACTTCTGCAGATGGTAAACAAAAAGCCCAGGCTGTTCTCCTTTTTTTCCCTTGTTTAAGTAACCTGGGGGTTCCACAGATGCTCTGCCAAGCTCATTACTGCTGCAAGCCCTGCAAGCTGGCAGCAGGGCAGAGGCTGGGAAGCTAGAGGTCCTGTCCCAGAAGCCTTTTACAAAGCAGCGGGGAAAAGCCAGCACACCCCTGCTCTGCCCCACGGCCAGTGCGTTTCTCCTGCTGCCTCTTCAGCTCTCCTCAAGCCCTCTCGGTTGCGGCTGTAAAACCCCAGGGAGGCAGAGCATCACACCCACGCGGAAACCAAGTGTGGCACGTCCCATAGTAGCCTCCAGGCTCCTGCAGTGTCAGGGACAAGAGAGCTGCCACGGCCTTGAGGACGACTCAGAGATTTGCAAGGAGAGGACTTGGAGGACAGCTGGGATAAAACACTACAGAAGCAACTGGATCAGACTCTCTAATTGCATCACTCCAGAGACAACGCAAACATTGGGAGCAAGGTATCCCCTGTGACTGGAAAAGTAGCTCCTCTGCCAGCCCGAGCACAGGCTACATCTCTACAAAGGGAGCAGTGGGTATAAAAAAAGATAAATCCCCTGGCACGTGCCAGGTGGCACACTTAAATCTCAAGGCACATGCAAAAGCCAGGCTTTTGTGTCACAGCTCATGTCCCACAGTGAGATGGGGTGGCCTTGGTACCTCCATGACACAGCGCCAGGACTGAGGCTTAGTCTCTTCTTGAAAGCAAAAACCCTCATCCAGAACCTGCACTAAGGCTCTTCTGGAGGAAATTAGGGGAGAGCTAATTATTGGCAGCAGGTGGCACCAAAGAAGAAGTATATTAAGATGAGCTTAGAGGGGTTTTGCATCCAGCAAAGCCTATTAGCCCTGAAGCTCCTGTTTATCGCAGACCCCTCTGGAGCCCAGATAAACTCCTTGTGACTTTCATTTGTTTGGATCACTTCCCTGCCTGCACAGCACAGCTCCAAGGGAGGGAGCACGAGAAGAATCTGTGAGCTGGGAGAGCTTTGTTATCTCTGCTTATTGCCATGAGCCCTGCCCACCTTCCCCAAGTCCTTGCACGTGACTCCATCCCAGCAGCATCTTGCTATTAACATCTACGCTTGACTAAATATAATGAGCGTTAACATCATCCTGCTTAATAGACAGGGATTTTTAAAACCACCTGCTGGTAGCAGCACTCCACCTCCTGCCTCTGAAATGTAACTCTCCACAGCACTCTGATCCTCACCCAGGTACCTGATACAAGCTAAACCATAACATAAGTTTGGAAAATAAGTTAATTATCAGCCAAGGGCTTCCAGACCCTGCCTATGGAAAGGGGCAGCCTAAAGGAGCTGAGATGCCTGAAATAAAAAATAACCAAATACAGCAAGCTCTGACACTCGGGTTCTTGTTCAACGCACGCTACAGAAATTACTTATTTTATAGCAAGGACTCCAAGCCTGTAGCACACAGTGCTCTGGTAGGAAGCAATGCAAGGCAGGCTTTTCTTCTATCTGCAGAGGAAATAAGTTATTTTTAATAGAAAAATTATTTTTATTTGATTCTTAATAGTGATTTTTTAATAGAAACTTTCACGACATTTATAAACAGATAGAAGATGGAAGATAAAAGAAGCCACTTCAATCCACACTCTTCCAACACTGCCAGTCAACTTCCAGCTGCACCTCTAAGTTGTAAGCCAGGACCCTGTGCTCAGAAACCTGCCCCAAGCTTGCAAGACCTGCACTCACCCCCCCCTTAATTGGGTTTCTTGACACAGTGCCAGCTGGTTTAAAGCTTCTGACCTTGCTGCATATTTCAAAACACCCCAAGGGAAACTTTCAAGCACACAGAGAGGTTTGGGGTACCTGCATCCAGCACTTACTGCTTCAGGGTACTCATGGCTACCATGCAGCACTCCAGGAAGCCTGGGGAACTGTGAGCAGCGCCTTTGCTAAGCCAAGCTTCCCTGCATCCTTTCCTAAAGATGCAGTAACACCAACAGCGCCTCTGCTTGCGGCTTCCAGCAGAATAAATGGAATAAATATTAGGGAAAGCAGCTGGCTGATGTACTAAAAGACCTCAGCCTAATATACAAACACAGATAAAATGTTTATACCCTTTACATTTTCAGTCCTCATTAATTTTAGGCCTTCTCAGAGGTCACAGCAGTTCACAGACAGAATCAGGCCCCACCATCAGTGCATGCTGTAGGGCACTTGGGACACTGCTACCTTGCGAGGGAGGATGCAAGGGCTGGGTGTCCCCCTGCCCCTTAAAGCACCCTTGTAGGAACCCCCATGGGTCCGACTTGCCCCAGCTGTGGAGCCCCACGAGACCAGCCTCCCCACCACCCTGCTCCCATTGTCTTTGCCTGTACCTCATATTTTCCTTCATTCTCCTTCTTCATCTTCTCGACGTCCAGCAGAAGTGACCAGACCTGCCCTCGCACCTGAAGCGGGATCCCTTTGTACACTCGCCGGCACATCTGTGGGGAGGGAAACACATGCAAGGTTAGCTGGTCCTGTGGCAGAACAGATCTGCTCTGTCATTTGCTGCTGCCGACCACCAGCCACCCAAGCAGACACCCCAACCGATCACTTCCTCTACCTGTGCTGGCACAGAGGGCATCTCCAATCTGATGGATGAACTGAGCACCTGCATCCAGCAAAGACACTTATTCAGTCAAAATCACAGAATCACCTGGGTTGGAAAAGCCCTTGAAGCTCCTCCAGCCCAAACATGAACCTCACCCTGACCGTTCCCAACTCCACCAGATCCCTCAGCGCTGGCTCAGCCCGACTCTTCAACCCCTCCAGGGATCCCGGGGACTCCCCCCCTGCCCTGGGCAGCCCATTCCAACGCCCAACAGCCCCTTCTGCAAAGAAATCCTTCCTCAGAGCCAATCCAAAATCACGCCACATCTCATGGTTTTAACCTTACTGGAAGAGCTGGACACAGACTTTATACGTGGGGACACCTCAGGTACTTCACAGCAGTCCCATTCCGTGCACACCAGCCTACCCCTGGACTCCTCTCCAAGGACCAGAAGCAGCACATTTGGCTCTTGAAGCCTTTGATCTGACCCGGCATGGTTTGTTCTCACCTGGATCCTCAGGGATCAGGAGAACAATACATTCCCCCTTGGAGAGGAGAACCCTTATCCTGAGAGCCACAGGGATGTTTCCACAGCAACTCTCACGGCTTGACAAGTAGCAAAGGAGACCGTAATCTACACAAAGGGCTCTCCCCTGAACTTGTAGGGTATCTCTCAGGCAGAAAAGGGGACTGGGGACGCATCTGTCCCTCCTGCCTCCACATGTTCACTTTGTCTCACAGATGCATTTTCCTTTTTTTCTTGTCATAAATCCCCCTCTCTCTAAATAGACCATTAAATTTCAATGGAAAACAGCTTTTGTTCCATCTCTGACTTCTCCCATTAAAACAAAAAGTTTCATAAAAACAAAAAAAGCCTAATTCCTGAATATTTTCCACCCTTTCATTCATCCCACCCATGAAATGCCTTGCAGCTGCACTACAAAGCCAACTGCAGCACTATTCCATGTTCCTGAGGACCATGAGTATGCTGAAAGACCTGCTGCACATGTCCAAGCTCCAGCTGTGCAGGAGATTTATGTTGTGATATGGCAACCCCTTGGGAAGGACAGAGGTGCCATATTTCCAATCATGAGAATGAGCTCAGGGCTGAGTAGGGCAGCACCCAACCAGGCAACCAACTACTGGCATCACCTGGTACAGATGCATCCAACCTCCTTCAAAATCCCTCTTCCTTTTTCCACAGGGTGTTCTGCTTCACTCACTCCAAGCTAATGCAGAAGAAGGGCTGCCATTCACAGGGAAGCATCAGGATCCTAGCAGAAGGTTTTCTAGACATGGTCCTGCTGTGTGGCCTTTGCATCTCTTACACCAAGCTGACCTGTAACAGCAGCTCCTGTAACCTTTCCTTTCTGACCCATCTCGCATCATCAGCTTTTCCATTTCTAGCTTGACTTTTTAATGCCAGCCTATGCACAAGGTTATAAAGGCCATAACCATGGCACTGCACTGTCAACCCACCTGGGCTCACAGCGTCCGAGAGCACAGACCCATGCTCCTTGTTTCATTACCACCTTTGCACCAAGTGCAAAACACAGCAACAATGGCTCTTGTCTCAAAGAGCTAGTACGAGATGAGACAGGAGGTGGGGTTCAAGCAGACAGGCTAGGGGACAGCAGAGAAACAACACCACTATCCCAGTCAAAATAAGTATATAAAATCTATGTAATAAATGCCAAGACTCCTATGTGGTACTAAGAGAGCCAGATGTGTGTTAGAACACTTCCACCCCATTGTGGTAAATATTTTGGTATTTCTGCCAACACAGAAAGTGTCAGTGATCCCGATCCTGTAAGTGTAATGGACATTCTACATGTAAAACCTCATTGTCAGCACTTGCCAAATGCCTGCTCTGCCCCAGGTGTTGCTTAGCACCAGCTCTGAAGGTCCAATTCATGACCAGGACCATACCCTACAGAAATCCTTTGGAAGATCCCACTCTCCCCTCTGTACACACCAAATGAGAGCTGGCCCCTCAAAAGCATCTTCCTACCAAGACATCATGCCCACAGAAATCCATCATCCAATTCAACAGCATCCTGCATTTTAAGCAGGACATCACTAATTTACCATCTGCACACCCAGGGGAGTGACTCCTGCTTGTCCAAACTCAGGAGGAGGTGTTTCTGGAGGACAGTCAACCTGCATGCCATGCCGAACAGCTGCAGCCCCACAGCCCAAAGACCAAGGAGACGAACAAGAGATTGCCGTTCCCCAAGAGAGGAATAAAATCAGGATGATGTGCAATACATCAGGAGACACAAAGTGATGGGGTTAGATGAAGCACCTCCCCACAGTGGTACTGGTAAGGCCCACAAAAACCTGGCTCCCACAAGTGCTCCTGACTTCATGAAGCAAAAGCTGAGATGGGATCAAGAAACTGCAGTATGTACCAATTCAGATAAAATTATTTATTTCCAACGGAATAGGAGAGTGACTGACAGATGCTGAGGTAGAAGATGATGCTTAGCTCTGTGGGAAGAAAATGATTTTGTTTTGAATTCCCTGAGCTGGTATTGTTGTACTTTAATGAGTGCAACCCTCACTGGCATATAGTAAATAGCTCTAATGATTTTCTCCACATGAGAGTGTGGCAGGAACAGGGGAGTTACAAAACATGCTGAGACGGAGCTGAACTGAAATGCCTCCCTGTTATTTATCCAAGGGCCTTCCTCCTCCCACCGCCTCCAGACGTGAAAGTGATAAAACCTCAGAGCTGTGAGTCACGCGGAGGAAAAATGAGCAATTTTCCTTCATTGTGGAACTTGACGGAAAACAGGGAAGTTATCATTAAAAGGAGCATTTACACTGGGATGAATGGACAGAGAGAAGGCAGCAGGTGATGGCAACTCCTGCTCTATGTGAGAATTAAAAATAACCCCTGACGTCACAATCTTCTGTCTCTTATAAACCGCTCAGCCCTTACAGGTGGGAAGAGAGCACCTAGACCATGGGCCATGCAGGCTTACAGACAGACCGCCACATGGCATGAGGAATGGACATCATCCTGTTTCACAAATGGAAAGATGATGGCTCAGGGTGCTGTAAGAGCCAAGGACTGAACCCCCAGTGTTTAAAACTTGCTCTGGGTTTTGCCATAGCATCATCTTCCCTCTCTAGGCTTTAATATACAAAGCTCATGGCACAGAGCCTATCGTCACCCCATCCCCATTCATCCCCTCCCCATGTACTTTCTTTCCAGCAGATGGGATGGGGAAGACTACAGAAGTGCTGACCTGAGCTCCATCCTCCTGCATCAGAGATCATCTCTCAGAAGTACCCAACCAAGTACTTCAGGTCTTTAATTAGAGGGGTGGAGTCATTGCCTTTAAACACAGGACATTTTTTTGCAGTAGTTAAGACAGTTAACCACTGAAGTTAAAAACTGTTTGGGAGGGGTGGATTGTTTTTTTAAAGCAGAATATACATATTTCAGCTCACTTTCACATTTTGGAGCCTGTCACTGTTAGCTTCTCAGCCATGGACACGGCCCACCAAGAAGAGACTGCAGCAGTAATGCGCAAATTTGGGGTATGCATGGCAATTTCACTTTTGAGCCTCTCCATATAGCCACCACACGCCTTCAACACCCTGAAGTAGGGAGCAGCCCCCCTTCCTCAGTTTCTTTAGGGCTCAAAGAATGATCCTTCTGGACAGGAAGGACTCTTTCACTTTTTCCACCAGTGATGCCCCAGGGAAGCTGAGCTATGAAAATCTTCACCCTGAGCGGTGGGTGAAGCTTCCACCACCCCCACCCTGAAGAGGACTTCTTCTTTGGCACCACAAAGCCAGCTTATTGATAATGTGGCCACGCAAGACACTTAGCAGCCTGGACTTTGCTGCGTGTGGTTTTCCTTCTGTATGGATAATGGCTACTCCCAACTCAGCTCTTGTCCCTGCAGCTGGAGCCCTGGCTATGCTGGATGGGATTCCAGCAGGTCTGCAGCGGTTTTGGCAGTGAAACAGGGGCAAATTTAAATCTCCTAAACTGATGTGTTACGGGTGGGCATTTACATTTATTACCAGGGCTACCTCTGGGGGAGAGGAAAATGCTACCTGCCTTTCCAAAATGGCAAAAACCAGCAGCAGAAGTCACCCTGCCCAGGCACAACTCTTTTTCTTTCCCATGGCATTTGAGCGCAGGAGACCTGACTTCAGCCAACCCTGCTGTGACAAATGTCTGCTGGTTCTCCCCAGTGTTAGCAGATTATTCACTCTTGGAGGTCCATGTCAGTCCATACAGATCCCTGATTCATCGTAAACCGCTTTGCTGGCATGCCTCAGATTAAGCACTCTGCACTCCCGTGACCTTAGCAGAGACAAGGCTACCCCAGTACACAAAGACAGGCTTTGCCTAAAACCCAGACGTTTCTGGCCAAAGACATCCCTCTCTAAAGGTCCCACCCACATGGCCAGCAGCAAGAAGCAGCTTGCAAATGATGCAGAGGTCATATCCTTTTCCTAGGACTGGTACTTCTGGCTGAAATCCACTTATTTCAGGGCTATGATGAATAAATTATCCTGCTATTGGAGCGAATGCAGTATAGCCTCTTTTCCTCTGCAAAACCGTGCCGCATTAATTGTGTACATTCTTACATGGCACCAACCATTTCCTAACCTTCCCAGGCAGTCAGGTTGGGATTTAAACTCAAGTTTAAAACAGCAGTAAAGATGGGACAGGGCCTCCCTGTGCTGAAACCTGTATTACACAATTTAGCACTTCTTTGCATGCTTGATATACCTTAACTTTGCAAAGCAGTGTGGTCCTTGCATGGACTGCTTTATTTCTGTACCCTTTCCCTTGTGGAAGTACAGCCGGGAAAAGGCATCACTGCATCAGTCTAACCTCATCCTTGCAATTGTTTTGGTGTCACTTTTTGTTGATGTTGCTACTGAAATTAAATCAGATTGCTGTGAAATGTGTCTAGAACAGAGATAGAGACAGATCTGATATGGTGATGAACACAAGGAACCCCAGAGCATCACTCTAATTAAGATAATCCTAGTTGTTGCTCATCCTGAAACAGGTTATGCCAGGAATTATTCTAGGCATAGTCAGGCCATCCTAGGGTAGGGACTGTAAAAGGCCCTTCTCTTGAGGGTTTTTTTCAGCCTTATTTCCTATAATCTGTGACAGCCACAACACCCAGACTGCAACCAGCAGAATGCAGGAATGCACACTGGCAGCAGGTGGGGGAACAGAAAGCAAAACCTGCTGCTCACTGGTGATGGCTCACTCCAGGGGTCTGAAAAAGCTGCTTTCTCACCTGCTGATGATGGGTGGTGGCTTTGGGGTCAGTGCCCTGGACGATCGCACAGCCTCCCTCCTCCTCTTGACATTTCACAACGCTGAAGCTGAGACAATGACCTAAGCCCTGAGCAGGTACTACAATGCTGCAAAACACGACAGCCTATTTGATAAGCCAAGAGTCCCTCTTCAAGCACTCGATATGGTCAGCTGTCTGCCAGCTCCAGCCCATGAACTGGGACTCAAAATGTTGGCCCTGAAGTCCAGAAACTCTAAGCCTGGAAAAGAAGACAGGTTTCTACATCACTTGAGCAGAGCCAAAGTCAGGGCAGCTTCCCTGTGAAACTGTCTGCAGTTCCTGCAACAAGATTTTCTTCCTTCTAATAAAGCCCTGTCTATCAAAATGAACATCAGAGGGAAGGCTCCTGACTTCAGTAAGAAGTTTTTTTCTAAGATGACATCCTAGTCTTTATTAAAATAACACAGAGCTGCTGTCTTGTGACACTCTGGCTTCCATCACATCAGTGAAGTGGCGAAAACAAACCTGAAGGAAATGTGCAATGCAGATGTGACAGCCTGAGTGCTCAGAGAGGGAACAAAACGAACCCACTCCACTTCAGAAAAATCAGATCAAGGGCTTGTCACATTTACTTTAGCTAGAAAAAAATCATAACCATCTGAAGGGCACGATTGTGATCCCAGCATAAGGTCCTTGAAACACCAGAGCTGCACCCAGCTGTGGCAGCAGAAATCTCTGCGCAGCTTCCATGCTCCTGACACAAGAGCATGGGGTTGCACATCCAGGTGAAGGATACAGCCTAGTTTTGTGGGGGTTTTTTTTAATACTAGTTTTGTGCCTCTCGGGGTCTTTGCACTTAACACTGCATGGCTGCTCTGATGCACAGACCTTTCTGCCCACACTTGCCCTGGTGCAAGGCAGCGGGGTGTCAGGCTGAATGGGACTGAGACTAAAGCTCCTTTCTACTCCCTGGGGTCACCAGACTGCTCCTTCCCTGCTTGGGGCCAAGCGCTACTCCTCGGTTTGCTGGGAGCAGGGACAGCCATTTCCAGTCCCCAGCATGAGGACAATGCCACGTCTGTGCCCAGGAGTCCTTCACAGGCTGTTATAAATAACATCATTTATTCCATTACAAGAACTCTGTGATTTTCTGACCCAAAGACCCTCAAAATGTGCTTGCCAGTCTAGACCCTCGCCATCCAGCAGACCTGAGTGACACTGGCTGCAGTGTGCTGAGCACACACACTAATGATCGGGGTAAATCCAAAAGACAGATGGGGATTGCTTCTGCTCCATACACCCCTCACCCTGGATCCTGTCTGTCCCCACTGGCTGGCCCAGGGAAGCCAAGGCATGCTAAGAACACTCATCATTACCCAACCCAAACATCCTCCAGGACCTGAAGGAATTCCCTGTACTCAGCTGGAATTTCGTGTTTTACCCACAAGGTCACTAACCAATTAGTGCTAACTTCTAATTATAAAAACCAAAGCCACAGGAGAGCCTCCGTTTTTGCCCATGGAGCAACAGCAATGAACAAAATAATCAGAACCACTCTGAAGAGAACAGAAGGATTATAAAACCCCAAGCCCATCTCCAGTGCATCCCTGCTCTAACAAAGATAGGATTTGTTTGGGCTTTTTAAAAAAATGACAAGAGTACAGCTGGTCTTTGGCTGGGTGAACCTGGTACCACTCTGGAGGGCTGGGCAAGGGGGATGCTCTGCTTGATGCCCCCCCTACAGCCCTGCAGAGATCCTCTGCACAGCATTTTAACTGAGCTCAAGTTTCTCCTGAGGACTCTTGGCAAGAGCTGGAAGCAATACAGCCAAACACCCCACTCCTCCTGCCCAGAAAGAAGGCTGCAGAGGTCACGGTGAGAAGGTGGCACTGGGCTTCAGCCCTCTCCTGTGCAGAGTGCTGTAGCAGAGCAGGTCAGGCTCCTCTCCCTACCCAGCGAGAGCCATGTCATTAGGTTCAGGGGTTTGTTGTTTCAAGAGGTTTGTAGTAGGAACACATTACAAATATTTATTAAAAACAACTCAATGTTGCAGTGGCAGTTGGTGCAGAGTTTATTTTGAACACCAAAGCCCAGACACAAGGTCGGTGTCTCCATCCCTGATTGCCAAAGCTGGGTGCACACAATCCCAAGCACCTAAGGGGCTTCTCTCAGGCAAAGCTAGGAGCAAAATACAACACCTAGGTGGTGTCCTAAGTAATTAATTCTTCCTCCAGGGAGAATTATGAGGAACATCAGCTGGACTGTATCAGTCACATCTCCCACGCCATTCCCAGGTGGTGGAGGCACAGAAGTGACCCTGAGGCATTGTGGCCCCTGCTCTCGGGGCAGGGGCCCAGCTGGGAACACGAACATCTCTGCTATGCTCCTGCTTGCACAGGGAAGCAGAAGTGCAAACACACCAGCAGCATTTAGGAAACCATTTTTAAAACCATGCTAGTCAGAACAGGACTTTTACCTCAATTGGTAACCCAGCACCTTCAAGGAAAGATTTAAAATACTAAAGACTAATGGGTAGAATTAAGTAATATTTTCCAGTGATCTCTGGTTTCTCTATCAACTTCTTGAAAGCCTGACTCACTGGAAGGATGCACCATTCCTGTCCCTCCAGACACATGCTCTTTCTTTTCCTCCTTACCTTATCGCTGTTTCTGTACTTGCTCCATTTCTTCAGCATCTTTAGCCACTTGTCAACACGTTCAATTTCCTGCTGTTTTTGCTGGTGCAAGGGGGAAGAAGACAAGACAAATTTAAGAAAATAGCCCCAAGAAAATACCTCCTGAAAACACAAAACTTCATGCTCTTTAAACTTCAGTGCAAAATTATTTTCCATCCTGCATTGAGGATGGAAATAATCCACAGGTGCTTGCAGGAACTGGTAATTTCAACCCGTGGCAATTAAAGCAGCACTGGTAAAAACGATGAGACACACAGGCTTAATAGAGAAACAGTTTCCAAGATTGAAGGTATCAGACTGTAGAAACAAGATGCAATTTGGTCCCAGTTAGCAGGATCCTAACAGAGGACATGCTCCCAGCTCAGGGGAGATGAGGATGGAGATGATGGTTACCTACAACCTCCACCACTTTCCCCCGCATATGCAAACCCCTTTTCAAGCTGCAGCTGCTGAGTATTGTGCCAAAGCAGAGGGAAAAGTCCAAAATTCCTTTAAAAGGTGCTATTTCAGTGCAGTGTGGAGTGGAGATGCCTGACCCAGCAAAATAAAAACTCCAACAGCTGGGCGTTGTGGAGTTCCCACCTCTGTGTGAGCAGCTGTGACCAGCGGGCGCTGGCTGTCTGCTTCAGTCTTGCTTGCACATTCATTTCCTCAAAAACTGTCCCCTCCCCAGCTAGTGTGATAAGGATCTGATACCCACGATGATAGAGCTGACAGCTCTCACCTTCTCCTCCAAGGCAGTGCGGTTTGGCAGCTCCTGCTCGCTGGAAAAACAATGGGTCACTGGTTACTCTTATGGGCAAGAAAGGGTGTGGAGGAATGTGGGGTGCTGCAGCTTGGGGACCACCTCGGGCACCGGAGGAGATACAGCTAGGGGTCTTTGTGCCTTTCCTATGGCTGTCCCCAACAAGGAAGAGGCAGAGAAAGCACCAGCCAAAACCCCACCACTGTACGGGAGCTGCTGGGGGATAATCAAGCTCTGGACACTGCTGGAAATCCTGGGCATAAAGCTCCTCTTCAATCCACACATGATGAGCAAAAGGGGTGTGGGGGGTGGGATTCTGGACAGCAATTTCTTCAAACCCCCCTCCTGCACACAAAACACCTATTATTATAACTCCTTGTTCAGATTTGGAATAAAAGTAGTTATTTTAATCATTCCCCCCAAGTACAGGGTGTGCATCTAACTCATCTGCACCTCTCTTAGGATGGGGATTTCCTAAGGGAACCGAGAACTATCAGATATCTTGTTTCGTCTCTTCGTACACCTCCTTGAATCATCAGGTGCAAATGCAAGAGCCTCTCCATTTGCAGCACAATGTGGGCCTCCACAGAGGCACAGGAGCACAAGCTTGCACCTTCTGATGTCAGGCTTGTGATGCAAAACCATTTCTGAGCCTTGCCTTGCAGCAGATTGAAAGCATCAGTGTTTGAACATGTGTAGTTGAGGGAGGAGGTACATCTAGTCCTTCCTCCTGCATTTGGGATTGATCAAGCCAAGCCACTGAGTGGCTCATAGGAAAGATGCTGGGTCTACCACGCTTGGTACAGACAGAGGGTCCACACAGACACATGGGTCAGAGAGGACAGGAGAGGGTAGGAGGACTTTGAGAAGTCGTGGCAGTCCAGTGAAGCTCCGACGGACTGGAAAAGGGGAAACATAACCCCCATTTTTAAGAAGGGAGGAAAAAAAAGAAGACCCAGGGAACTACAGGCCACTCAGTCTGGCAAGATCATGGAGCTAGAAACTGTGCTAGGGCACGTGGGAAGTAAGGAGGTGATTGGTGACAGCCAACATGGCTTCACCAAGGGCAAACTGCCTGACACATTTGGTGGCCTTCTGTGATGGGGTTACAGTGCTGGTGGATAAGGGAAGAGCAGCTGATGTCATCTACCTGGACTTGTGCAAAATCTTTGTTGGCATTGTGGACAGTGGGATTAAGTGCACCCTCAGCAAGTTTGCCAACAACACCAAGCTGTGTGGTGCAGTGACATGCTGGAGGGAAGGGCTGTGCCATCCAGAGGGACCTGGACAGGCTGGAGAGCTGGGACCGTGCAAACATCATGGAGTTCAACAAGGCCAAGTGCAAGGCCTGACCTGCACATGGGTCAGGGCAATCCCCAGCACAAATCCAGGCTAGGTGATGAGTGGCTGGTGAACAGCCCTGCAGAGGAGGACTTGGGGGTGTTAGTGGATGAAGAACTGAGCCAGTAATGTGCACTCACAGCCCATAACCGTGTCCTGGGCTGCATCAAGAGCAGTGTGGCCTACAGATTGAGGGAGGGGATTCTTCCCCTCTATTCTGCTCTCATGAGACCCCCCCTGCAGTGCTGGGTCCAGCTCTGGGGGCACCAACATCAGAAGGACATGGAACTGCTTGAGTGGGGCCAGAGGAGGCCACAAAAATAATTAGCGGGATGGAGCACACCCCTGTGAAGAGAGGCTGAGAGAGTTGGGAGGGTTCAGCCTGGAGAAGGCTCCAGGAAGACCTTATAGTGGGCCTATGGGCAACATAGGGAGGGATTCTTTATCAGGGAGTGTTATGAGCGGAAACAGTTTTAAACTTGAAAGAGGGCAGATTTAGATTAAATAATAGGAAGAAATTCTTCCCTGTGAGGGTGGTGAGGCCCTGGCACAGGCTTCCCAGAGAAGCTGTGGCTGCCCCCTCCCTGGAAGGGTTCAAGGCCAGGTTGGACGGGGCTGTGGGCAACCTGGGCTGGTGGAAGGTGTCCCTGCCCATGGCAGGGGGGTTGGAATTGGGTGATCTTTAAGGTCCCTTCCAACCCAAACCATTCTATGATTCTATGACTTACTGCAGGAATCCAAACCGATCTGTAACTTTATACAGCGTGAAATCAGCATCTTCCCATGGGTCAATCTGAGCTCCTTCCTGCCTGCCCTGAAAGAAGAAAGGACACCTGTGAGCCAGCCCCAGCACTGGGAGTGCCCCAGTGCCCACACCCCGCCCCCAGTGCCCACATCTCTCCTTCCCTCCCCACACACTAGAAGGCATAGAGCCAGGAGACCAGAATCTGCTCTAGAGGGACAAATATAATGCAGGCAAGAGAAAAATGCACAAGTTCAGCCTATCCAGCATCCCTGGTGTACATCTGCTATGAGCTGGGAAGGGCTGGCTGTACATTAGAGAAACCAGTGCTATCTGGTGTAAGACATGCTGGTATTGAGAGAGCATTAGAAGCCCAGGACCTTTTGGTATCTGTGCTGAGCATACATGGGATCCACAAGAAATTCTGGGGATGTGGTGAGAGAGGATGTGCAGGTAGAAGCAGGTAGGGAGAGCTGGCACAAAGCCTGATGGCATGATCGTTACTGGGGAGATGCCTGCAGTGAGGCAAAAACTTCTTATGTGAAGCATTCCTAATCTATTAAATAGCTTCAAGCCTTAGCTGGCATGTCAGGGAGAAACACAAGGTCGGTACCTTCTCATACTTGGCAATGATCTCCTCTTTTTCCTGGGCTATTAAAGTATCTATATCTTTCTTAAAAAAAAAAAAAAAAAAAAAAGTGAGGAAAATGAGATAAGTAAATGTATAGACAGCATGGGAAATATTTTAGAAAAGTGCTAATAGAAAAAACCCTGGCTGACAACTTTAGCTTCCAGCTGTACCCCATAGCTAAAATCAGGCTGAGGTTGAAAAGCCCCTGTACAAAGGGTGTATGGAGCTTGACTGCATGCAACAGGACTGCCAGCTCCTCGCTCTCTGCATGGGGACACGACTGAATTTGAGCAAGAGGAAGTCTTGTCTGCTGGAAGCCAAGACACCGTGCTTTTGCTGTTAGGCCCACGCAGACCTGTACGAAAGACATGGTGCTTTTAAACCGAGACATCAAACCAGACGCAGAGCCCTCGCAACGCACAGGTCACGCGCCAGCTGGGCACCGCACAGCACAGCACAGCGGTCGTGGGGATGACAGCAAACTACCGTGCTCCTGCCCTCAGCCGTGGAGGTGAAGTTGTAAAATGATCAAAGGCAGATTGGACATCAAAGGAGAAACTGAAAGGAGGTATTTTTGTCTAGTGAAGCGTGCACACAAGAAGTGGCGTCTGTATTATTATCTCCTATACATACTCCCTGAAAGAAAAACAGCACAGCAGCAAGACGACCACAGAGTCTCCATCTACTCTGAGATGGTCCAGTCTTGGTCTAAACAAGACCCAGTATAGCTCCCTGATGTCTGCCCACGGCTCTGATCCATCCCACACACATACGTGCGAGCAGGGTAACTTTCCATGCCAAATGTGACTTGAGTGTTGTGTTGTATGAGCTCAAGGGAGCACCCTGCCTGTCGAGCCACAGCTAGTTTCTGTCTCTTCACCTAAGAAAAAGGTTGATCTAACACACCGAGGAGTAAACACAGGCAGACAAAATCCCCAGGGAACCACAGTCCACAGGCAGAGGAAAGATCTACCAAGTCCTCCCCCCCTGAAACTCTATGGAGCCACAATCAGCCCAGCTCAGGCCGCACATCAGCTACAGCACCACCTAAAGCCAGGCTGCCACAAGCCATGTCACCCGAATCCTCAGGCCACGGGAGCGATGCTGCTGTAGCGCAGTGCCAGCCGTGGCAGTCCTTGGGCACCAAGGACTGCAGTGGGGACAGGCAGCCAAGGGGGATGGCCTCATCTCCAGCCCACCGACCACATCCCCGAGTGCTCTGTACAATCTCCAGCCAGACCCAGAGCTATACATCCTCCCAGTATCTTTCCCTTGCTCCCCTTCCCCAGTGCTTTTCTTTTGAAGTTTTTTTGAAAGCTTTTTAAAGTAAAGTTTTTCCCCATGCTTCTGCTATGAATTATAAACCCTACTCAGTGCAGACAGGATAAGCACTGGGAAGTCATGATGTGTTATCACCTATGTGGCTCTGTCTTTCAGAGCCCTGCTGACTCGCCACAGGTCCCAGATACATGCTACGCATTTCAAGAACAGCAAGGTAAAATAGTTTTAGTCCACAGTTGCAAGTGGCTTAGCATTTCAAAAGTTTTTGAACACTTAAGAGTATAAAGTCTCTTAGAATAGCTTGTTATAGAGGCAGATTGCATTTTGCCTGCTCTAAGGAGGTTTTGCCTGCTATAAAAAGATTCAGCAGCATTGGGAAAAAACTGTTAAGAGGCACCACAGCCTTAAAATATATTCCCTACTGCCACATTACAAATGATCCAGAGATTTACCCAGAAGCTGAAAGCTAAACAGCTTCAATAATACAGTCCAGAGGTTTCGTGTAGGGCTTCAAAGGAGCTCCCTGGAGCATCTGGGATCTAGCAGAACACACTTGAAAGCCTCCCACAAGAAATTACAAAATTTTGAAAAACCTTTTGAAAATAAACAAGAGCAGGTTGACTCCTGTGTTGGGTCTAAAGCTGGAAAGTAAATCCAGCGTTGCTGTGCTCTGGTCCTTTCCCAAAGCGCTGGTGACCACCTACTTGCAGAGAAGAGCTGCATTGCAACCCACAGATAAAATACTGTTCAATAGCTGCTCAAAACAAGTTTCCTCCAAGTTGCCATTGCAGCTCTCTAATGGGCACCAGGAGCCATCCTGGCCTCCCTTCAGGAGGCACCTGAAGGGTTCATGTTGTAGGACATGCTGCCCCAGGTTCTGAGTGAAGCAGCAGTGCTTGACACTGGACAAGCCTAGGCAGCCAAAGGCGTTACACTTGGGATGATCTGATGAATGTGGTTTTTCACTGAGGGGAAAAAAAAAATAACAATAAAAACAACCGGGGGAGATACGATGGGCAAAAGCAAAAACGCACTGCAAGGCTCAGTCCATTTCTCTGCACCTTCAGACACCCATAAGCCGTTATGTGTCTCATCCTACCAACTCCTTACTGCAACCTGCTCACTGCCACCATGTCTTTCAGACACAGCTGGAGACAGCCAGGAGATCCATCTTTCCCTAACTCTTCATTTCAAAACCAGCCATCGCTCCCAGTTGCCAGCGGTGTGATAGAACTATTAACCCACATGCAATAATCAGGCCTACCAGGGCAGCTCTTCTGTGACATCAGCCAAAGGCACAGGAATTTCACTGCTTTACACTCCTCTATACAGACACTGGAAAACAGCAAACTCCAAATTCATGGCAGGAATGGGTATATCTTTCCCCCTTATTGACTCCACAATAAAAACAGAGCAAGAATATAAATATTAAAGTGTATTTTGTTCTTTTACTTTTCCAAGCTGCAGCTCGTACTTCAAATGTTCCCATGAATTTTGCTCAATACATTTTAATTGTAGTTTCATTCTTCAAAGTAGCAAGGTCTGAGTATCTGTCTCATGGAGTCATCTAACATATCTGCATCTTCTCCTTCTCACATCTTTCTTCTGCAAAGTTTAACTCAAAGACAAATTCACTCCCCTACTTCTGACATTGGTTTTTGGTTGTTATGGGGCTAAAGAATTCAAATTAGGTCCTTTACATGCTGCTAAAAATACAAATATTCTACAGGCTGGAGGGAAAAAATAAACTGTATGTCAAATTAAATGGGAAATTTTTCAAGAAATTTACAAAGTGGAAGTTATTCTGAATGTTTCTGACCACACTCTGTAATAGAATAACCAAAGGAAGAGTGATTTGGTACATGTGAGGGTTTGCACAGCAGAAGACAGCAGTTAGACCACATATATTTTGGCATCTGCCTCTGTGAAAGCCTCTCTGCAGCCACAAAGGCCAGGCTGGTGCAAAGGAGCCAGCGTTGCATCTCATACCTGGAATGTGCACATTTGTTTCCTCTTTCTACTGTAACAGTGCAAAAGTCCAAATTTAGGAAAAAACTTGAAAGCAGAGAAAATGGTTAATGGCAGTGGGAGGGATGGAGATGGCAAGTGGCTGTGCTGGCCTCAGCGTCTGACCACAATATTGCTGCTTTTTGGAGTACGAAGGCAATGCTGCACTTCACTACCTGATATTCAAAGTTCTCTGGGGAGGGAACAGTATAGCTTAGCTCTGCAACAGCCCCTGTTGACTACAGATATCCAACATGGATATTTTTATTACTTAATTCTGTGCATACTCGAACTCCAGAGTAGTTTGACACCATGAAGTTATGCTTGAGGGAAATGACACCTTGTGTATATGAAAACTTCTGAGACATTTATTTTCTGGAGAGTTTGATGAAATACATAATTCTGCCCTGATACAAATAAGCCACCTATAAATAGGTGCAGCCCGTACCTGCCGCACTTCTCCATATACCTATATAAGACTGAAGACTTCCTTTTTCTTCTAATACACCACTTAAATACTTTCTCAAGCCTATCACACAATTTTCTCCTGTGAGTACTGTATTTTCCCAGCAAATAGGGGTTTTCTTCCATGACAAACACACAAGCTGAAGCAGCCATGAACAGGAATGGTAAGAGATGTGAACAACGCAAGAATGGTATTAGATAAATTTACTAGGACATAAGCAATAGAAAGCCCCAAGCCATGTACACTTAAATTCAACTGGGAAACAAGGTTACCAAATAGTTCCTTTTAAAAAGAATGAGTTGAAAATGTCACAATCTGTCATCTCACACTAAAACTTGCAGTCGACAATTTAAGGAAGTAAAAATTAATCCCCGCAACAGTAAGCCTAAAGATGCTTAATGAAAATGCATGTTACTGCCTACCTGCATTGGACACTATCTAGCCATCAGCAAACCTGAAATAAAATATCCAAATTTTGGATGAGGACAACTTTCCTGAAATTAATTCACCAGCTGGGATCTCAAGTATTGGCAGCAGAAAGAAGGTGTCTGCATCACAAATCCAAGACGATGCAAGAATTGTTATCCATAAATCAGATTTACAGTTATAACCCTCCCTCAGAAGCCCTGTACCTTTCCAGTACGATCTGCCGAGCTCCTGCTGCCTGGCACGGAGTGGTACCAGGCAACCATCCTGCATGTTGCAACCCTGCTCGCTGCCCAGAAGAGGAACTGAGCATTTCCCACGGCTCAGCGGCAGTGCTGCTCACGCCACGGCCTGGGGACACACACACACACACGCATCCCCTGTCACCCCCAACCATGACGTGACGTCTCCCACTCGCTCCCTCAGAAGAAGGCAGAGGCACTGACACCTCTCTCCACAGAGGGCACTTGCCAATGCCACAGCTACAGCCCTCGGCTCACCACCAGGTCCTCCTCTCCCCACTGCTCAATCTATACGAAACAAGGACAAACCTTCATTAAACTCCACCAGTACACGAGACCTCCATGCAGAATTTAATACATCAAAAATGCAAATGGATGTGGTCTAAGAACTGGAGCCGAGACATCAAAGGCTTAGCTGATGGGTCCTGCAGTGGGTTGCAGGTGGTTGCACATCAGCATGTCTTGAGATGCCCTCCTAGAAATTCACTACAACTGGGATTCCAGATCTGACTCCTCCAAGCCCTCCTTGCAAAGTGGTTTTGCTGCTGGGACCTTGGCCAGAAAGTGGTTTCCCAGCCTTTGAATGGAGCAGCTGTGGTGATGCTACCAAGCAACCCATATGAGCCAAAGTGGCTAAATTTTCAGTCTCTTCAAGTCCTTTCTGCCTCCTTACAAGGAAAATAGCAAAGTTTTACATTATTCTATGCTGGTTTTACAAAGGTTTTACACTGTCAGGGTGCACTAGCATCAGATTGTATTGCTCAAATTCACCATTTTGCTTCAAGGTGAACTGTAGATCCAGTGCCACTTGGCAGAAGGGCTTCTGAAAAATAAATATATCAGTAAAAATCTATTCTTTTTAGAAAGCACAGCATAGCATCATGTTCTCAGACTTGGGCTGCATTGAGGATACTCTGGAACCCAATTTTAAAACATTTTATGCTGTCAAAAAGTATCTACTCAAGCCACTTGAGATTATAGGCTCTACGTTTTGGATGTTTCTCTGTTCCTGCTGCTTCCACCAGTTAGAACAAATTAAAGGCAAGCATGATGCAGGCGTACAATCAAATATAGTTGAGTTACAGAATCTTAAGTTACTTCCCCGAAGCAGTCATCTCAGCCACCTGCTCCCCTCCTCAGCATGCTCCATCTCCAGGGCAAAAGTTGTAAAATTTGCATTTTTGCTTCAGCAACATCTCACAGCACTGTACATTTCTCCCATCCAGCTGCACCCAAGCCCATGGAAATGTGTATGATTTTTTTTCTGCATGCCACTGCAAGCAGAAGGTCACTGACAAAGGAGGAATAAGTTTAGGTGAAGGTGTGTTGGAGTCCTGAATGTGCCCAATTAACTACTAATAGAGACTGCTGTTCAGAAAAAAGAAAAAAAAAAAAAAGGCAAATTTTGACACACCATACTTAAACACTACGCTGGCCTCTATCAGACTGAAACTACTGCTGTGGAATAAAGCAAAAAAGGTACGTACTTACTACAACCACATCTACCACTGCTGAAACTCAACAAGTCGCTGTTCCTGTTTCACATTCTATTTTAAAAGCACATCTTAACACAGTGTTTTATACCTTTAGCTGTCTAAGGCATAAACCTGCGATTTTTCCTTTAGGGTACAGGCTTAAAGGAAATGCTTATGCATCTATGCAAGTGGAAATGCTTATACAACATCTGCTAAGAGGTGAGATCCTTGCATGAGGCGCACCTGCAGCCCTCACCACTTCCCAGCAAAGCACTGCTCTCACTTGTAAAGCTACCACTGGTTGTAACAGTGACTTGTGCGCTTGCACGCCCTGGAATAAAGCTGGCCACGCTCTGCTTACAAAGCAGCTAAAGCAAGCTGCAAAAAGTTGAATAAATCCTATCAGGGATATTTTAAGTGCATGAAACAGGTACCTTGACATGCTTCAAACCATGCAGGCTATCAGCTCGCAGCAAACTCCCCATCCTGGTTTCCTGGTATAATCTGGGGGGCCAAGCTGATATCAGAGGCTATTCTCCCCTGTGTTTAAAGCCTTTCAAAAGCAAAGTTGCAGGGTTACACCATGTACCTACCCAGCACCGGCAAAAAAAGCGTGGCTTTGCATCTGCTTCGAAGGCATCGCCGCGGCCCGAGGAAACCTGCAAGCCTCCACAACATGCAGAAGGAGCTGCAGGCTGCGGCAGGCGGGTGCCAGCACGCAGGGCTGCGCGGCCGGGAGGGGACAACCTGCCGGAGGAAGTGATGGCCACGTGCCGGGGCTTCTGCTGTGCCAGACCTGTCTCTCCACGCGGAAGTCAAGCTGCTCCCGAGGTCTGGGTACAAGACCGGCCAGCGTCCCCATCTCCAGCAGCACAGCTGCACAATGATTTTTCACTAGAAACCCAAATTTCAATCCCCAAATGGACAACACGCCCAATGCACTTGCATTGAGGACTTCTGCTGATCCCCATCCACAGCTCCTCATTAACAAACCCAGACTGCAAACACCCTGATCAGGCACCAGCTTCAAAACAACACGTCACCGGACAGCACATCACCAATTTTAGCCCAAATCCGGCACTCACAACCCTGCTACCACAAAGGAAACCAGGCTTGCACTCGCAAAGTGAATTATGACTTCAGGAATGAAATTACTATCAAGCAGGATGAACCCAGATACAGGAGATCCTGTTTTTTTTTTTTTTTTTTTTTTTTTTTTTAAGGAGCACTAAGCCAGCTGAATTGCAAGATTTGTGTTTTAACTATCTTAGGTTCCTTGAAAATGACTGCCCATAGATCATTTATACGATCACAGATGTGTTACAGAAAATTCAAACAAGCTCCTGTCCCAGTAAACGCATATTACAACTGAAACTGCACTGGATAAAAACATGCTCACCTCCCTTAGCAGAGGTGCTGGGAACACCCAAGTGAGAACCTCCACTGCAATTCACTTTGATGCCACCAGCAACGTCCCAACAAGCCGAAGCATCCAGCAGTATCACAGATGATATCTTGTCGATTTATTACATGTGTACCCACAGAACGTGACAGCTCTCAGAGCGATTCTCATCTGCTCTGAAGCCAGTTTATGAGTTCAGAGAAGGGAGCGTGGAAATGAAACCGGGTTCCAAGCAACATGCCCTTACCTGAGCCTGGTACCAGGTGCCGAGATGCATCAGTTCACCTGGAGTCGTCCTCTCCCCTGCGGGCATCTACCCAGCAGGGGCTGGTTGTCTCTGCTGCGGGGTGACGAGGACTCTGGCCACCGCAGCCCACTGGCCAAATGCCCTCAGTGCGGCGGCTCTCCCCTCCGCTCCGCTGGCCCGTGAGAGCTCCCTGGGAGCGGCTGGGAGAAAAGGCGAGGCAGGAGGCAATCAGCACGCAGGCTGTCTCTTCCCTCAGGCTCGCTGCAAAGGAAGGAAGAAGTTGGTAAGTTTTCCAGTTCTGGCACAGCAGAAGCACGGTCCGTTCCTGGCACAGGGGGTCTCTGCACATAGAGGAAAGGCAGGTCCCACAGGAGCAGGCAGCAGGGCAGTGTCTCAGCCTGGTGGGGAAGGAACAGGCTGTAACAGGAGGGCACCCAGCGAGAAAAGTAAACTACGCTCGCCTGCACTGCAAGAAAACCCTTGGCGTGGGTTATGCTCAGATTTTGTTGATTTGGTGGCTTTTTCAGGATGAGTTTCCTCCCCACCCAGATCACAGCATCAGCCTGGCCCAGCACGGACTTGCACTAACACAGAGGACTTGTTATAGGGATTTTGTTTGGAGCTGGGCAGGAATTTTACAACTATCTGGCCATACATGCCAGGTACTAGAAAACCAGCCTGCATGCCTGCAGCTGCACAACATCATCTTGTCCAGCATGTTTATCCAGGAATGCTCAGCTTAGACACAACCCAGCACCTAGTTTGTACCAGGGGACTGTGTTTTAGCCCATTTTCTGGCCCTGTTGTGGGCTTCCCACACAGATCTCAGAATCCACCCCACCTTTGTATCTGCAGACACATGCTACCAGCAACTCAGCTTCCCCCTGCCCAAGCCAAGGGCACAGTATTACAACCAACTTCAGCCAACTAAAAGCATGTTGCCACCAAGAAGGGATGCAATGGGAAACCAGGCCATTCCTCCAGGAACAAGCTGGTGGGAAAGGGAGAAGCAGCATATGGGACTTTGATCAGATTAAGACCAATAACACAGTATCACTGACTCACGGGGCAGAAGAGCTGGCACCGGCAGCACCGCCAGAGCCACCTTCGAGCACTTGCAGTTCCTACCCGACACATCCAAACAGCTAACACAGCTCAAGGAACACCAAAGCTCAACAAATAGCTATCACTTTTTTTAAACAAGTTTTTAATTCCCACCTTAAGCAACCAGAGAAGCAACTCACTGGTTTCACAAGTGTGAAATCAAGTCATCAACCCGAAGTGCAATGCTTCTGTTTGAAGCCAGTAGGCACCGGGAGAGGGAAGTGTGCACTGATGCCTGGGAGAGGAAGCCCAGCTCACCCTCATGATGAGCAGCCCCTTTAAATAACACCACCTCTCCTCCGATCCCCCTCACAAGCATTAGTGAATAGACTTTTGCCCATGTTCCTGGGCCGTCCTGTGCTGAACTTCTCTGCTGTCACCCCTCCAGCACCTAGACACAACAACATGGAGACCCCAAAGCACAGAAGGCTTCACACCCTTTCAGAGGCGGCCACCTTTACTATCAAGTAACCTATAACACAGATTACATTATATCTACATCATCAATGAGTGGTTTATAACGTGGCTTACATGCATTATAATGCAGATTACACACATTTCCCTCTGTTCTCACAATTTGCACCAAGCTTTTAAAGTATGATGGAAAACTGTGGTCATGACAATGATAATACTTTGCCACCAGACTAGGGCAATACCATGAAACCAAGATACATTCACCAAGCCTTTTAGTAACAGAAAGAAGTAAAAAATATGTGAGGCTACATTTACATACTATCCACCTGCCTCAACACTACCAGAGTGCCCGGCAGTGCTGCCAGTAAATAAAACCTCAACCTTCTCCCCACCACCCTTCCTGTGCTCCCAGCACTTACGTCTCACTCTCATTCTCACATGCATTTTTTCTGTGCTGTGCCTTGGTGCTCAGGTTAAGGTCTTCTGCCCAAAGATGGAGATAAGAGAAGCAAGAGGGCTGATAAAGAGAATTGCTCTCCTCCCTGCTTACACCCAGTAAGCCTAGCCTTGGTGCTTCTGCAAAGTTCAGCTGTTGCAAGGTCAGAAGACGTTGTTTTAGACATAAGCTAAACCCTCTGATCAGAACAGAGAAATCTACAAGCAATTCTTCAACAGCTTCTATTTTTAGACCTCATGGGGAATAAAAGAGCATCCAAACACTTTTTTTAAGCTCTTTTTGACAGGAACTCATCCTTTCCAAACAACAATAGCAAAAAAACAACCAAACAAAAAAAAAACCAGCACAAAACCCCAAGAAGAATGATTTATTTTTTTAAAGCATCGTTATTTAAATGATTTCTCATTAAACAAAGAGAAGTAAACTGAAGAATGCAAAAATCCATGTGCTGCTTTGGGAATTGAAGACTAATTTTCTCTTTGCATTCGCTTCTTCCTCCATTTCAGTGTCTATAAAAAGGCCAGAAAAATCAAGGGGGAAAAAAAACAAACACCTCCCCTTCTTTCGGGTGATGCACTGACCTGGAAAGGAACTATATAAACACGGAGCATAGGAACCAGCTGTTTCTGTTTCCTTAAGACTGGAAGAGCAGTTTACATTTCTTTAACCATAAACTAAAGGAACCGACAAGGACAGTCGTTCTCCACTTGGACATGCATTCCTCACAAAATACTGTATTTTATTTTTTTTTATTCATGTAGCAACATCATGGGACACGCTACTATTCCTTTTTACCATCCCCATGGTCATTCTTGTCTCCAGCATCACATGGCAATTTTGGGTAAGCTAAAAGCTCTTACTGCATCTCCTTTTGCAGTTTTAAACTTTTCTTGGTTTTCAGCTTGGCAGCCACAGCCAGCTAGAGGACACCCACACCTAACACGTGCCTGAAGCAGTGGGGTGAGGACATGCATCCTGGCTGATACCTAGGATGTCACCCTGGACACTGTGGAGCTAGCAATGGTCAAGAGCCAAAACCAAAGGAACAAAGATGCAAAAAATAAGCTATTGTGCTGCCAGCAGCCTGTGCTCTCCTTGGCGCAGAGGGGCAGCATCTTTTTTAAAACACAAATAAGGAAATAACAAATGCACCGTTATATAAAGTCACTGGGACAACTGATGAAAATGTGTAGGAAGCTAAAAATCCACTAATAACCAGATGCAGCTTGCCTGTGGAAAACTTGCCCAAAATAATTGAGGTGAATGATTTCTAAGTTGTGTATCTATAAGCTGAGTTAAAGTGAGACCTATGCTGACCGTGTGGGTCTTGCACCACTTGCCAGAGCCCTGGCTGAACGCCATTTTTAGCAGTGGAGGCAGCTTGAGCCATTAGCCTGACCCTGACCCAGACTAATGCCCATCCCTTAGTAAAACATGTATTTTAAATGAGGTTCTTCAAGTACCACCCTTATTGTTTCAACCGCTTTAATGAGTTTAATCAGCTCATACTGCCTCCAAATACAGAACCCCATGCAGTAAATCACTTGTATTTGGCAGCCTCTGCAAAGGACACTCCCTGACCATTTTGCTGGCAGTACCTTGGACTTGCATTATTTTCAAACAGCATCTCTGAACGCTAACGGGAGAGCTGTTATTAACTTCTTTTCATCTACCAAAGCCCCCCACAAGCATGTCCACCAAGAGAAAACTGCAGGGAAATAAGAAGTATGTGATCTGACACTGAAAAGCACCGGAAAAATGTTTCCCAAAGCTCTGTTACAGCCTTGAACCATATGCAGGACAGCATTAGGATACACAAAATTTTGAAAGAGTATGAAAGCAATCCTTTTTTAATTACAACATGACCTTTCCCTTCCTTTTTTTCATGTTGATAGCTCCTAAAATTACCCCAAATGAACAGCCACAGGAATTTTTGCTATTTTTTTTGTGCAAAAGCAACATTTCATATAAACAAGAAAATTTAATGGTTGCTTTCCCTTTGAGGAGATTGTTCACACAAGAAGTCCTCCCCTATTCCCTTTGTGGAAAACACATTTATAAAATCCAACTGGAGGCAAAGACTTATGGCAGACGTAACACTTCAGCTTATGAAACAGCAATGGTTGTGTAGAACACCCTGTTAAAAGCAGCTCACCTGCTTAGGAGTCAATATAAAAATAACTCAAGGGCTGTTGGTTTTTTGTTGGGTTTTTTTGATAGTGTTGAAATCAACATCTGTGTCATATGGTCAGGGCTCTGAAATACATCTTACAATTCACAATGTATTTGGCTGTTACTCTACCGTGGTCAATGTAAAATTAAACCTGATACTAAAAATGGATCCATTGAGACTGCTGGGGTTGAAAGACAGACACACTACTTTCCAGCCAGGGAAAATGAAATGGTACTGATATTGTAGAGTAAGCTATATTATTGCAATAACTGTTTCTGTACTTTAGATATTGCAATAAAATGATGCTCAGGGGAGCGGTGGAAATGCAGATGGGTGTGTTGGTGGTAAGAGCGAAGTGTGGAAGAGGACACAAACCTGCTGGTCACCAGCAAAGCCCCAGCACTGGCAGCGAGCAGCTGGGAAGTGCCACGCTGGGCAGTGACCAGTGGCAAGTGGCATCAACAGCAGCTGAACCAGTGCTCCTGACACGGCGGTTCGAGCCCATGCTGCCAACCACAACCCCTGACAAGCGTGGAGCGTATCTCCCCGTCACTGCAGCAGGGAGTCCCCAGTCCCCGAGCGAAGCTACATAGTCACTGGTGCAGTGGGTGTAAACAGCTGGTGACTATGTGCTTGGGGGACGAAATGAGTCCTCCCACTCCTCCACCAGCCCCACGCTTACCCCAAAGCCCCCAACAACACTTTTTTTCCTTGCAAGCACACCCTCAACACTTGGGGTGTTTCCTAATTAGCTAAACACCAGCCTTGGGAGGGCTCGGCAAGGATTGCTCATGCCACTGCTCTGCCATCTATCTCATGGGCTTTACCACACTGGCAGTGCTTTCTCCCACCCTGGGGCAGCAAGGCCGAGCCCCCAGCACACAGCCCTCTGTCCAGGAGAAGCACTGCCACACTTTGTGGCATGTACCACTGTGTGTGAACCAGAAATGCAGGTTTGCCAACTCAGTGTCTTCCCCACCCGAGGTTTGGAAACCTCCTGTAAGGATCACAACATCGGGAGGAGGCACAAATTTGGCTTGGCTTCTACTGGGAGAACATGATGCCTGAGCATGTTACCTGGCTCATGCCTCATTTTACCCCATGAGGGACTTG